TGATCTAGACTGTACGTCACAATACGCCGTACACGTCTAGAAAAAGGTCGACCCGCTGGCACTCACACCGGGTGAACGCAGTATGGCACAATACGATGTTTGAAGCATTTGGCAACTTGGTACGACATTTGTTGCCGTACTGCTGATTTATGCAGGATTTGGCGCTAAAACCGCCTTGTGCATGACAAATTGTCTATACGGCACAGATTGCCGTACTGGGCCTGTGGGACGCATTTTGGTACGTCCATATATGACGTTGTCTCCGAAAATCAAACGCACGCGTCTCCGAGTAAATTCTGCCATTTTGATTATGGGGCGCTCACAAAAGTGTGTCACGTGTTCTCGATTCTGTTCACGCAACGGCGCGCATGCAACATGCATGCAGCCATGAGGCGTGCGTCTCAGAGAACATGGGAAGCAGCTACCCACGAGGAGCTTGACGCTGAACATCATCCACAACAACATCGATCGACCGAGCGAAGGGGACAAGGGAGAGGCAAGGCGATCGTATTTGTCGCGTTGAGCTCAGAACTCACTGCGACCGTAGCCACAAGCAGCTTCCGATAGCTGCAGCGGTTGAAAGGTCTGCACAGACAGGAAGGATACGAGCGCAGCACCACCTACATCCGACCCCACCCCAAACGCAGGCTTCCCTCCTGTCCTCCCATTAATTCTTGGTCGACAAGCATCCCAGCATTCTCACCTCATTGCAGGCATGCTTCGAGCCACCACTCTGCGCGGCGAGACTGCTCTCATGTCGGCTCTGCGAATGGTCCACACCAGCAGCAGGCGATTGCGGTACACATTGCCTGTCATTTGCGCTCACACCCCCCGTTGGACCGCTGCCCGGCCAGAACGTTTTAGGCGGTCTACAAGCCAGGTCGCACCATGTGGACGTCATTTTACGACGTCCACAGGAGATTCCGCGTCAGCATCGAAAACCGCTCGAGCTCAGGAAGGAAGCGTGGAGCTTCCACCGACGTTGAACAGCCTCGTGAAAGCTTGTCGGAATGTCGCCGATCGAGAGCGCATGGATACCTGTCTCAAAGGCGAGAAGCCAGTCAAGGTAAGAGGCTGGGCCAGAAGCGTCCGAGACCACCGCAAAGTGAGCTTTGTCTCCTTGGTGGACGGAAGCATGGAAGCGGACAATCATCTGCAGATTGTCTTGTCACCTCCGCTCAGAGAAGAGCTTGGGAGCAGACTTAGTCCGGGCGCATCACTGGAGATTGAAGGAGCCCTGTGCGAGGTCAAGAAGAAGGATGGAAGGGCGATCGGAGGCGATGAGATAGAATTGAGAGCTACCTCTGCCCGCGTAGTAGCAGTTTGTGACTCTGCTGTGAGTTTTCATTCTGCGTACACGCCACTTTTATGCACATGCGATAGCCTATGTAAGAGCGACGAGCGCTCACATCCAGCTACGGATCACAGTCTTATCCAGTGCCACTCCAAAGCGAGAACAATCCGACTGACAATCTGCGAGCGCACGCCCATCTTCGTTCTCGGGACATGAGGCACGCAGCACTGCTTCGGTCCCGAGATGCTCTCGAGCGAGGCCTCGCTGACTACTTTGCGAGAAACGAGTTCATCAAAGTCACCACTCCGATCATCACCTCTTCGGACTGTGAAGGTGCCGGAGAAGTGTTTCAGATTGTTGCTGACTCAGATCTGAGAAAGCCGGATCAGCCGAAGGCTGGCCCTGCAGAACTCTCACCAGCGGAGAATGGCGTGAATTACGAGCATTCGACCAACGCAGAACCATCAGAGACGACCACATCGGACAGGCAACTGCAAGCCTTTTGGTCCGGTCAACCAGCATATCTGAGCGTCTCGGCGCAATTACACCTAGAAGCCATTATGCACGGACTGAATCGGATCTGGACGCTATCACCGGCTTTCAGAGCGGAAGGAAGCGCTACGAACCGTCACCTGGCCGAATTTTGGATGGCGGAGGCGGAGATGGTCACCTCAGATGATCCTCGAGTGGCGCTGGAGGAAGTCATGACGATCGTGGAAGGATGCATTAAAACAGCGAGCTACTCTCTCTTTGGCGCTGACTGGCAAATTCCTTCAACTTGGGCGAAGGGAAGTGACAGAGCTGAGGACGTCAACTGGTTAATAGGAGCCACTCCAGCAAAGGAATATCGAAAACTGGACTGGAACAATTGGGAAGACAAACAAATTCTAAAAGACCTCATGCCCATAGATCCTCACAGCGCTGTGAATTACACCTTACTCGAAGAGACTTGGAAACGAATGACGTATTCGCAAGCCATTACGCAACTGCGGCAAATTCATGAAGACGAAGAAGAGTTCGACATCGAGCCAATCGCCGGTCAGCCTCTGGCCACGGAGCACGAAGCAGCGTTGGCAGAGGATGGCCCTGTTTTCATCACGCACTATCCGGCTCACAGCAAGCCATTTTACATGCGCGCCTCTACGGGTGCTCCGTCCAGCGATCAGGAGGGAAGCGAAGGCTACACAGGACCGACTGTGGACTGTTTCGACCTGCTAGTCCCTGGGATGGGCGAGCTGGTAGGAGGGAGCCTTCGAGAGACACGCCCAGAAGTCATTCAAGGAAAGCTGAGTTCCTTAGGCTGGAGCGAGAAGGCTAAGAAGCAGATGGAATGGTATGCTTCGGATTTGAGAAGATTCGGCACCGCTCCCCATGGCGGATTCGGGTTGGGGATGGAAAGGCTACTCAGTTGGCTCACCGATACGTCAAACCTCAAGGACTGTGTCACCTTCCCTAGAGTCAAGGGACGTGTACGATATTGACAATCATAGCACCAACACACAAGAATGCCACAGGAAAGAGACATTGATTATTTAGGAGCGACAGAGGGGTGGTGGTCCAGCCACCACGCTTGATGCCGTGATGGTGTAAAAGGGAGAGTATGTGTACAAAACGAATGTGGTTGGTCAAGAGCAGCCAAGCTCGGCGAGCGCAGCGTTATTCTCTGCGTACCTTTGGGCCGTAAGGCGCGGGGCCACTCCAATGTAATCGATATTTTCGTCTTCCATGCCGAAATCTCTGTCGTCGATGGCCTGTCTGACGGAGCGTCGAATGGTGTTGCTTCGCAAAGCGAGGAGCGTCATGGCGACTGGAGAAGAGCTGCACGTCGGCTGCTTGTTTGCTACTGGACTTGCAGCTCGCAAGTCTTTCGGAGTCTTTGCACCTTCTTGAGATGACTCGCTATCCGAGGAGATGCCAGAGGTGGTAGAGAGAGAGACGCTCGTTTCTGTGTCTGCACGCGGCCTTCCCACTCCAAACTCGCCTCTTGCCCGCGCGTTCGGTGGAGCCGCTCTGGATTGGATCGATGTTGGCAGCACAGACAAATCCCGATGACGCGCATTGACTGGCCGTGCTTTGAGTGGCGGTCTAGGAATGCGCGATGTGCCGCCTGCACAAGACGTCACGCTTGCCCTCTTCTGGCTAATGGGCACGGGAATGCGAGACCCAGAAAGGGTGCTGTCCTGACTTCTGTTTTCAGAGATCCATCCGACCGGCGCGCGCCTACTGTGCATGGATCTCACGCTAGACTCGGTGCCTGTTTGGGAAGCTCCGGTAGCTTGGGAAGACTGCGCATCCATCTTGACCGTCTTTTGCCATGCAGTCTGTACTGCAGACACAGCATCGTCGATATTCGCTTTTGGAGCAGGTCCGCCTTTTGCAGCAGCACGATCAGAGCCGTCATGCCCTTCTCCTGGGGCGCACGATAAGTTGACACCCAAACGCTGCTCCAAATGCTTCCAAAGCTTGCTTGCCTCATCGTCTGTTCGAGGCGAACAAGCCACTTGCGCTCGCTGCTGGCGGCTTCTTTGAACTCCATGGCCCAGCTCATCCTCGCTCGATGATACTTGCGATGTCACTTCGTGTGGATTGAGTGCTTGTGGTGGCCGAGGCGTGCGCATGTCGTTCTGTCCTGGAATGGAGTTGGCAAGCACGCTGCTGCCTTCACGCTGCGGATTTCTCAATTGCGTCTCGGGGCGAGCCAGCACCTGGCTCGTGCTGGGCGGCACAAACATGCGTGCAGATGCTGAGATGCCCGACGTGCTTGCTTGCCTACGCGGTATTGCTGTTGCGTGCGTGTCAGGCAGGGACTTCTTGGCGGAACGTGCGGCAGGGCACACATTGGTAGTATGTGATGCCGTAGATGCTGCTCGCGGTCGAGAGCGAGGTATCATCGTCGAGGCATCCAGCGTGAAAAGAGGACCACGCATGTCTCGCACAGATTGCTTAGCGGAAGGTGCAGGAGGGCACACATTGGCGGTCCGCGTCGCGGCGGAGTCTGCTCTGGGTCGACTTTGAGGCAGCATTGGTCTGACTTCCGATGGCCTATGAACTTCATGTGTGTCGTGCAGATCTTGCTGAGGAGCGCGCACTGGAGCACCCACGTTCGTACTTCGCGAAGCATTCGACTCTGCCCTTGGACGAGATTGAGGGGCGACTGCCTGGGCACGCATCGTGCTATGGGCTGCCGATGACTTCGTCGTCGGCTCAATGACATTGCGGCGACCGAAATGTGAAGCTGTATCTTGGCTTGCCTCCTGCGTTGATGCTGGAGCAGCTGGGGCTCGTTGGGAAAACGGCAGAGTGTCTGAGGCGCCCCCGTTCAATGACCGAGCACCTTGCGGCGCATTGCCAGTATAGACTATCGTGCCAAGCGAAGTGGTGTTGATGCGCACTTGGGGTCCCAAGTGGTCGGGAGTCTCATCCGGGACCGGAAGGGCTATTGGCAGCGACGCAGGTGTCACGTCCACAGGGACCGTGCTTGCTTTCCTCGTGAAGACAGCTCTTTGGTGATGCAAAGGCGTGACGCGTTGAGAACCTCGGCGAGGCAACGCACGACTCTGAGAAGCGCTCTGCTGGTGCCCAGGCTCGCATCTGGGCTGAGACACATTCTGCACGTGGCCATGCTCACGTACTGGGTGAGGAGCGGTTGTTGGACGTGACTCGGATTTGGTATCAGGCAGTCGCTGGAAAGCGTCACGCCTAATAGGCAAGGCTCGGAGCTGATGTGGGTCACGTGCGCGTTGACTCAAGGACGATGGGAGATGCGAGTCACCGCCAGCCCGCAGGAACGTTGGCATCTCGCTGCGATTCGAGATCCTCGAATAGCGATTAGACTTGATCGATCTTGCTGATCGCGACGCCCGCTTCGAGTCCGTTGGGCCAAAGTCCAGATTGCCCCATGAATTCAGGTTGAGTAAGGGTTCTCCAGTGATGCGCACTGGTGGCAAGATAGGAGGCAACGTGGGCGGCTCCGATGGGTAAGTTGCAACCTTTGCCCTCTCATGATGATTAAGCATACTTTGGCTGGGCTGCTCCTGCCTCTGAAGTCTAGCTGGACCCGTCTGATGTGGTGACAGAGGGCGCGTATTCGTGGCCCTTTGGGAGCGACGAAGCGAGAGCAAGCCGCGACGTGGTCCGTCTGAGCGCGCCATGTTCGGCCCTGATCGAGCGGCAACAGCAGCGTAGCTTCGCGGATGTTGTTTGCTGACAGACTGAAAGTCTTGGCATCGACTCAAATCGACGGAGCGCTCTTGTATGCTAGACGCAGAGCTCTTCCGGCTGCTAGCCGCGTCTTCGGCAACAGCCTTGCAGATCGCGTACGGACCTTCGTCGCCAGAGCTAGGCGCACCCAGAAGTTCTTCAAGAGCACACTGCTTACCGGGCTTAGCTTTAAAGCTCTGGTGAGAGTCCTTCCAGCTGCGTAGACTACCAGGGGAAAAATGCCGCAACCTCTCTGGTATGTGGATGGACGGCAACCGTAGCTCGGAGAAGGATAACGAATGCGCAGAGTGGACACGGGCGTGCTTTCCCGTTGCGGGTCCTACAGTGGCACGCGGGCCGACAAATGTCCCTTTGTGGAGGTCTGGAAGGTTTGCTGAAAAGCTTCGCCAAGGTTGGTGGCTCAAGTGTAAGCGGCAGGCGCGCTTGGATGGCGCTGGTTCTAGCAGAGTCGGCAGAGAAGAGCCACGACGTTCCGACCAAGGTACGATGGGGCTGCCGTACCGCTGGTCTGCGAAGGAGGTAGCAGAGCATGGTGAGTCTTTCGGTGGTCTTAAGGCTCTCTTCACCTGCTGGTGTCTGTCATATAGTGATGCTGAGGACGCGAAAGATGTCGCAGAGACACGACGGCTCTGTTGCACGGCGCAGAGTTCCTGCGTGCGGAGGTGCAACGGCGCGGTTGGTAGAATCTCGCCTGGTCGCAAGGACACGTCGGTGCCGTGGGAGATCCAAGACGTGTTGGAAGCGTAGGAGGAGACAGAGGTTTCTGATGCAGTTTGACTAGATTCTGTACGTAGCATTGGACGCCTAGGCAGAGCATACGCCACCCTCAGTGGAGCGACAGCCGTCGCCGAGCTCGCTCCCCGGCCTTGGCTGCTGGGAGGAGAGCTCAATGCCGTGATCATCTTGGCAGACTCTTCGGCGGCGACGGACGGAGTAGCCAGCGCAGACAAATTAATCATGCGTGGCATATCGTGTGGAGGCCTGCCCCTTATTAAAGGCGCTGCTGAGAATTGACAGGGCCGTGAACAAGTGATTGGCAAAGACGTCGAATGTAACGAAGAAAAACCGCCCGCTGCCGTTAGATTGGCTGGCAGGGCTCGTACTTGAGATGGCGCCGTCATTGCGACAAGGCGCGGTGCTGAAGGCGCTACCACCGGACATTGTCCGGCGCAAAGGCCAGCTGGCGTTGATCTCTCGGACGATCGATGCAAGAGACCGACGAAGCCGTCTGGCCGAGCATCGCGCTCACACCCAGCCTGAGATGTCACGGACGCACTTCGATCGCGCGGGGTAGTGCCCACGTTTCTGTGTCCGAACACAGCCCAGGCTTCCGAAATGGGAACCTGGTCACACCGACGGAGTCCTTGGGCAGCTAAGATCGCCGGCGTATCTCTTGTGCGACTATGCGCTGGATTGCTGGCCTGTCGGGTGCGCTGTGCGACGGGCGCTCGCGTTGGAGGTGCGGATGACCGCGGGTTGCTGTGCTGCGTGGAGCCAGCAACATCTCTTGAAGCTCCTACTTTCCGCATCTCGTTGCCGTAAATAGCTCGCAAGCCCCAGTCATGATCCTCAGGCGCTCTTTGAAGCATCCGATGGCGTCGACAGGTCGTTGGTTGCACCGTTCACCTGACTCGTCGTCGCAGAGGACAAGTGGCAAACACTGACGCGTTCCTGGCAGTGCCTTCGCTGAGCTGTCGGTGTCCGGACGCAGATAATAAAGTGAAGCTTTACTTGAACGGAATTTCAGGCCAGTGAAATGTCGCACGAGCGTCTGCCTGCCAGCAGTGGATGATTGTCGCGATCTCCTGAAATCGGATCAAGACGGTCGATGATGGAAGGATAGTGAGATAACACGGGGTCGAAAGGCGGTCCTGCCGCGCAAGTGTTGAAGGGGTGTAACGGAAGAGGAAGAGCAAGGGAAAGAGAGAGCAGCGAAGGATGAATGCGAATTAGCATGTGAGAGTCTGTTCAGGATCAAGCAAGGCCTAGTCTACCCATGTCAGCTAATCTGTGCACCGCTGCGCGAAGACCGCAAAGAGTCTGCAGACCGAAGAGGCAAGTGACGGTCGGCAGGAGCGCATCAACGGAAACTACAGCACCGCTTTGCAAACAATTGTTGAGCGCACGCTGCTGCTTGTCAGCATGCGTGTGAAGGTGGATTCATCAGCGTGCTTCTATCCGGTGCGCTGTTCGTACCACGCAGATTGTATGCGTGCTCATGGATGTTTTGCAACGGTCTCCAACGGCTCCAGCTCGCGCGCATCTACTGGCGCATCTTGCTGACCTCGTCATCACATGCACAGCCCCAGAAGCAAAGCCTCGTATCGATCCCTTCGTGAAGTGATCAGTGTGCTGGCTTACTTGGATAGCCAAACCTTCATCCTGGCAGTGGTGGTGAGAAAGGTAGAGATTGGCTTGAACAACCTTGAGATGTAGATGCAGCCGAGTCAGCACGTGTCCCCATCACGCGCAAGCTGGCTGGTTTGCTCGTCAGACTTTCCGCACCTGCACGCTGCATGTGCGGGGCACAATATTCGATCACGTGATAAAGACACAAGCCTAGCGAGACTTGACCGACGGCAGACCGAACTTCACCTCGAAACCTCGCGTGTACGCTGCTCGATGCTCGAGCCATTTCCGGCCGGCCCCACTTGCTCCGGCTTTGTGAACGCACGCTATACACCCACACAGACAGGGACTGGACTGGACGTTGCTTGACTTGCTGCTTGCTCACCAACCACGGAGCCTCGAATTTTTGGTTATTCCGTCTGAGCGGGATCTGTGCACATGAGCAGAGCTCTTACAGGCCAGCTTGCTGTGAAGTATCGACCACGATGTTAACGTCATCAGATCTGCCTGCGGGTTGTGTGGCTTGAGAGCGTGAGGATCTTTGATTTCTTCTCTCAGTGCTGACCGACCCTGCGAAACATCTAATACAGCACTGAGCCCTACAATGGCCAGTCTGTCTGCCGTTGTGGCAGCTGGCGCGAGAGGAAGTAGGACGACTCCTCTCCGGACTGAGTGATTGATCGTGGCCTTAGATTGGCGGGAAGGAAGCAGCAAGCCTCTGAGCTGTCCTGCTCAATCTCGATCTGGAATGATGCGTCACAGTCGCGAGTCCATGTACACATCTTTTGGTACTGCTATCTCTGAGCGTGTGCGCGACATCATGATGACTGTTTCGGCCCACTTTGGATGACTCACGCCGCGTCTCGGGAGCGAGGCGGCGGCGCGTAGTCGAGGCCTCAGCAATCGTGAATGTACTGAGTTGCCTACGACAACGATGTGTGAGCCATTGACTCACGACTGCTGCGTGCTGATGTCGCGCGGCACGGCGGTACAGTCGTGATGCACGGGCGTGGCATACAGCATGCAGTCTTGACTAAAATCACGATTCAGATTAGGCATATCGCGTACCGTACCTGCTGCATGATGCTTGCCCAAAGACTGCAGCAGCCGAGAGGCGCCGATGCTGGATGCCCAAACGCGATCCAGGGCACAGCACGATCAGAGTTGGCAGCAGCAGCAGCAAGCAACCAAGCAACCAAGCCGTGCCCGAGACCCCAAACGGCGTGACGCGCGCGCACGTAGCAAGCAAGCAGGCCGCGGCCCTGCTGAGGCACCGGTACTGCCACCAGCAGCAGCGTCTGCAGCAGCAGTCAAGTCACGAGTGGTCGCCGCGACTTTTCCACGGATCAGGACCGCCAGAGAGGAGATTAACCCCCGGAGCACGGCGGGGGTTGGCCACTTGGTCGAAGCAGTACCGCACCAGCTTTCATTGCTACACCGGACTCACCCCACGTCCCGCGCATCTGCAGCTTCTATCTGCCCCACCATCTGCTCTTTGACTCTCACGTAGACTTCGACTGCCATCGTACAGCAGCTCCGTCGAGCTATCGTCTCCTCACACCAGCGTCAGGTGGAAGGCACGCCTGCTGATTTTGCCCCGGACTGATGGGAGCGTATCAGTCTGCCATCCCCCAAGTTACATCTTCCCACTCTTCGCTGTCTTCAAAATGATGTCTGCACCTGCTCCCTATCCGGCCGTGGCTTCTCACGCGCCGGCACCCGACGACCACGAGATCTCCAAGAAGACGCCATCGATATGCGTCGACTATCTCAGCCACAACTGGACGGACGAAGATGTGTGGAGCAGCTGGAAGGCGATGACAAAGGTAAGTCTGACTTGCGCATGGAACAGCAGTCGAGACCGAAGTCAATGTCCATGTGCCCTTGTGGGCATTGCTCCCTCCGCGTGCTCCCTGCTGATCATTAGGCCGCCTTTCTGACCATAGCGCAAGAATGAGATAGCGAATGGTGTCAGGTTAGAAAATGCGAGTTGGAGAACGTGGGCAAAGCAGCGTGGCAAGTTAAAGACAATCAGTCCCGAGACTTTGAATTGGTGAGCGCCAAGGCTTCGTGATGGGACGAGATTGAGGGTGGCAAATGTGCTCATCTGTGCTAATCACTGAACGTCAACCCATCGGTCCCGGCCAGGTTGAAGGACAGTGATGTGACTTGGCTGTATGGGCCTTTGCATGAGCATGCAGACCCTGTACCTCCTCCTCGAGTGGCCACAGCCGGCGAGCGCCTCGGTCTCGATGACGACCCACGCCGAAGGAAGTCGATTCTGAAGCATCGCACTATCTCCGAGATGCTCACCACACCCGGTAGAAGCGCAAACGAAAACGCGCTGCCTCTGAGTGCTGAAGTATCACACGAGACATCAGAGGACGAGACCGAGACAGAGTCCAGCACCCCAAGGCGCAAAGGCATCAGTTCTCTTGACGCGTCTCCCAGGCCAAAACCCGAGCCACTCCCAGGACAGGCGGCAACTTTAGATTCAGGCTTGCCGACAATCAGGAAGAATTTGGGTGGCAGTCCACCGCCTAGCGTGAGGCTCACCAATCAACCTGCGCTGGACCGGGCGGATAGCGCAGCTAGCAGCATTGCGCCTGAAGAGAAGCGCCACATCAGCTTTAATCAGCGGGTGGAGCAGTGCATCTCAGTAGACGTCGAGGAGATTGAGTACGACGATGAAGAGGAGGAAGAGGATGAGGAGGAGGACGATGAAGATGACACCTATAACGCTTCCAAAGCGGCCTTGCAAGCCCAATCCACGCAAAGCTCCCGACCCGATGGGCGCGAGGGCGATACTGAAGAAGGATCCGAGGACGATGTGCTCACAATGCGCTCCAGTCCGAGACATTCCCCTTCGTGGCCCCTGACTTCGACATCTGGAGCCTCAAGCCGCGTGTCTAGCCCAGGCGCGGAGCATCACACGATAGCAAAGCTAGCGCCCACCATGCTGAAGACCAGCGATACTTTTCCATTGCCTTCTGCTCCCGTTGTCGACCCAAGCGGCTTCGGTGACAGCTTCAAGGCCTCCAGCAGCTCACGTGTATCAGCGACTGGTGGCAACAGCTACTCTGGCTACGGTGATGACGAAGATGCTGGGACGAGGTATAGCCAGTGGGATGCAGACGACGATTTTGGGGAGTACGACTACTTTGACGGGCCAGATGTGAATGAAGGCTATACTGGAGCTGCTGGCGGATCAAATTCGGACGCGTCGCCATCTCCTCCAACCTCGCACGAAGACCCGGAAGCCACTGTCAGGCGCATGGCTGCTGCCATAGCTGCCAAGAATGGTGGCCAGACGGTGAAACATGCTTCGCCACCCGAAGAGATGCCCCCTGGTACATCTGCACCTGCATCTGCTCCTCCGGCAAGGCGAAGCATTCTGAAAAAGGGCGGGCCGGGTGGACAGGCTGTGTCCGACGAGCATCAGCGCGAAGAAGTCTCTGCGGAAGCCTCCGCGGAAGCAAACGACGGAGACTACTTTGGCACTTCCCCCGTCAAGCTGCCGGCAGACGAGGCCATCGATGATTTGTCCGACCCAAAAAACGCCGCGCCAGCCAGTCGCGGGCGCTCATCGCAGCGATTGGGCACTTCGGCTAGCTACGAGCGCATACAAGATGCGGCACGCGGTGGATCGAGCTCTCGAACGAGAACCAACTCCAACAACTCTTCGTCGAGCAACGCTTCCACCAGTCCTGATGATCGATTTGCTAATTCGCACAGGTCGGGCGAGAGGCGAGATTCGTTTCGCGGGCGAGCTGGAGATGGCTCGAGAGCTATGGACAAGTCAGGCTCGTACGCAGCGGCGGCGGCTAGGATAGCTGGTCACGATGGCGAGGACTCGGATGGACGCGCATCGCTGGATTTTGCCAGTCCAGGGTTTCCCGCTAGTCCACAGCTCGGCGATGGCGAGAATGAGAGAGCAGAAGAGGGCAAAATGTATGGCAGGACTGCTGGTGGTGATTCAAGCGTGTGGTCAGATGGCAAGCCCACAGGTTCTCGATCAAGCCCCTCCAAGTCCAAGTCGGCTGCACATCGAAGGAATCCCTCGGATGATGGGGACAATCCAAGGGGGCCGGACGGAGAGCGCCTGAGTCTGGATGTTGAGCACTTGCCTAGCAACGATCCCAACCTTTCACCACCCTCTGCGCTAGGCGGCCCAACCCCACTCAATACGCCCACTCTTGCTCTTGCGAGAAGTCGCGGCGGGGCACCGGCCTCACGCAAAGCGGGTTCGAGCGAGACGCAGCCTTCGAGCCCGACAGTGCCTCGACGGAGTAGCGCTACCGGCGCCATAGTCGCGCCTAGCGACGCCGATAGACAAGCTGGCGTCAGGGTGCCGCTCTCCTCGGATTATGTGGAGGAAGATGAAGGTGGGATTGTTGGGCGTGCTGTAGAGATGGTAAACACTGCAAGAGATCTCATTGGAGCCTTGTGGGGCGGCGATAGAGGAGCCTCTTGGCGCCAGTCCTAGAGGACCCGGCGATTATACTTGCTCAGACATAGCATTTCACGGCGCTGCGAGCCTTGGCCCTGCCCTTTCACCATTGTTCGTCTTCGTCTTCACAGCGCACCTCCAACCAAGCTTTGTGTCACACACTCGCATTTTTGCAGCTTCCCGCCCTCCATCGACCCCTTTTCGCTGACTCCAAGCTACATTAGCGCAGACTCTGCACATTTGGCTCTTCTCACGCAATGGCCTTCCCTTCACGAAATGAAACACACTTCATAGAGCATAACACCAAGTCGAGCTTGCGTGAGACGATTCTCAAAATGCCAGAGGTCTCAAGCACGCACAGGGGTCTCGTAGCGATTGCTTGCTCGGGCGCCATGAGAACGAATTGAGGGTGCTTGCTCAGAGGTCAAGGCCCGAATGAGGTCGTGGACTTGCGCTCGGAATCCACTCTTCTGGCCCTGAGCCGCAGTGGAGCGAAGGACAGCATGTGGATTCTGAGTGAAAGGGCTCGTGTCAATACGAGCCTCGCGCCGCTGGTTAAGAAAAGGCATGGAATGGCTGGATGAAGTCGTGGCAATCTAAGCGAGAGGGGCGAACGGTTTTGCTACGTCGGTGCGTCGGTACCCCGCGTTTAGCGCACCACTGCAGCAGCATGAAAGATTCGACTTGATGCAGCGACACGAGTCGTGAGTGACTCGACCATACCTTCCACTCGTGACTGGGATTGACAAGGTCCGCCAAGCTTCTGATGCGAAGTATATATATCATCTGCTGGATCTGCATCAGAGTCAAGAGTATAGCGTTCCCCACATAGACTTTCAACAGTAATCCACCACTGCGATCGATATGACTGATGAGTCCTTTGCCGTAAAAGAGGGCGAATTTCACTCTTCGGCGCGCCAACAAAAGCATCGTCATGATCTCATAGATGCCTGGCTACAGCTTTCGGGCCAAGCATGGAGCTGCATCTTGGAAGTAGGCTGCGGTCAAGGAGATCAAACGGCAAGTCTAGCCAAGAGATTTGCGCAATCGAGAATCACTGCCATAGATCCAGCCAGCCCCGAGTATGGTGAGGTGCCAAAGACTTGTCCGACTCAGGGTATGTATTTTACTGAAGCATGACATTCATGACACTTGCTTCAGGGTCTCCAACGACTCTGGGTCAGTCCCAAGCCGCTCTGAAGGCGACATCTTGGGGTCAGAACATCACATTCGAGCAAATGGATGCCGTTTCCTTTGCCGCACGGTCCAAGTCTGGCAAGGCGGAGAAGCAAGACATTGCGGTCCTGTCGCATTGCATATGGTACTTTCCATCCCTTCAAATCCTCACCGACACCTTTCAAGCGCTCAAAAGTATGGGCACCCGTCATCTCGCCTTGGCAGAGTGGGACATCTCAACCAGCGCAATGTCCGCCTCGGTGCATCTTCATTCCGTCCTGCTCCAGGCCTTACCCGCAGCGCTGCGAGACACCGAAGCAAATATTCGATGTCCCCTCACGCCCAATGCTATTCGAGACGCAGCTGGCAAAGCGGGTTGGAAGGTGCGAGGAGAAATAACGGTCAAATCACCTGATCTCGAAGACGCGCAATGGGAGGTCTATGCCGCTAAGGCAGCCATCGCGAAAATGAAGAAATCACAACTAAAGAACGAAGACCAGATCGCTCTGGATGCTCACGAGGCTGCATTGCAAGCCGCAATAAGTCATTGGGAGGCATCGAGACGCAGCACAGATTCTCTCACCCCGTGCCTCGATGTCTGGGTGAGCGTGTTTGAATGACCCACTCATACAAGCCGCGCTCTTCACTGCTTTCAAGATTTCACACACAACACATTGTTGAATCGTGTGATTGCTTTACAAGAATTGTCACGAGTCTGTTTACATGCGCTGCAAAGCTATTGGCGGGCGTAGAGGAAGGTCGTCAGCATTCTTGTTACGTACTCTGCTCGAGTCGCGCATGAGAACTCACGTTGCAAGGTAAGCAAACGCATAGCAGCGCTAAGTACGTCACGCGCACATCGGTAAGCAAACAGTCTAGCGAGAGCCAAGTCCCTCTCTTGTCCCTTGACAAGGAGCACTTCCCAAGCGCTAGAGATGGAATGGCAAAGCTTGAAGCAGTACTGCACAATCGTGCTGGGTTGAAGGTCGTCGAGGGCTCTACGGACCACCTCGGGCCATTGCGCGAGAAGCATGATCAGATCCCTAGCCTTTGGCTCAGACAGCAAATCCAATCGAAGAGCGCTGGGGTCCAAAGGATCCGACAAGACCAATCCATCCGTCTCCTGCACTTTGCGCTCCACCGAGCAAAGTCGCGTGTGATTGTACTGCAAGTAGGGTCCCGTATCACCCTCGAAGCTTAGCATTCTGTTCCAGTCAAAGTTGTAGTCGTTGATACGCTTGCCCGTCATGTCTTGAATCTTGACAGCCGTCATTCCCAAAACATCTGCAGTCTTTTCGGGCTCCGCGACAAGTTTGTACTTGTCCTCGTTGCTCTTCATCACATTGTGCATGTTCTCACCCGCTTCATCCAGGATGTGGTCGAGGAACACAGCAGTGCCTCTCCGCGTGGACATGCCTTTCACCAGGCCAAAGTTGATGTGAAGCAAACGCTGTTGCTCAGGCTGAGCCCAGTCGTAGCCCATCAGCTCCAGAACCTTGAAGAACTGCGCCAAGTGCAGATTTTGTTGAGTCGCGACGACGTAGATCATCTTGTCGAATCCCCTTCCACGCTTTTGGTTCCAGGTATCCCAGCGCTGTTTGGCTTCCCCGATATCTCTCGTAATGTAGAGGGGTGTGCCGTCTTGACGCTCAATGACTGTCTTGTCCAGCTTGTACTGGTTCAAGTCAATCAGATAGGCTCCATTGTCCGCTTTTTCGATGTAGTCGCTAGTCTTGATGTGTGTCAAAGCCTCAGAAATACTTTGCTTGGTGACTTGACTCTCGCCAGAGTACACGTCAAAGTGGACATTGAGCCGGGCGTAGGTATCCTTGTATTTTGCAATACTCAGGTCGCGGAACTTTTGCCAAAGCGCCAACGCAGCGGGATCATCGTCTTCCATCTTCTTGAAGAAGGCTCTAGCTTGATCGTGGTATTGGGGATGATCTTCCGCTTCTCTGTTAATGCGAACGTAGATATCGTACAGATGTCTGACTGCATCTTCCTTCAAAGCGGCCTCATCGCCGTACATGCCCCAGGCAACAGCGAGAAGGCCTGGGCGCAATGCCACCACACGTCAGCCGTCGCTCTGTAGTTGGCCCAAGTCATGCACGCCTCCACTCACCAAATTGCTTGCCCCAATCACCAAGATAATTCCATCGCTCGACATACCAGCCATTAGCCTCGTACAAGTTGGCCAAGAAAGCGCCAATGATGGTTGATCGGAGGTGTCCAGCGTGGAAAGGCTTGGCAATGTTGGGCGATGAAAACTCTACGATCAAGTCTTTGCCGACTCCGCTAACATTGGTTCCATAAGAGCCGCCTTCTTTGCTGCCCGCGTATTCGCCTCGAGAAAGCGCGTTGATGGTAGACAACGTCAACTGCGACAGGGTGTTGGTCACGGCTGTGAACCAGACGAAGCCGCCCTTTTGAGCTTTTGCGGTCTCAATGTATGCGTCTGGTTTGAACTGGAGCGGCCAATGAGAGGTGGGCGGGGTCAATGAAAAATCAAACATTACAATCATGTCGGCCAACTCACCTCCTTTTCCACCTTTTCGGCCCATTCCATGGGTTTGCCAGGCAGTCGAAATCTAGGAAGCGTCGCGATAAAGTCCGCTCCTTTTGTGTGGACCTGCACCCCATCATAGACTTTTTGCAGGTCGAGGTTGAGTATGCCAGCGAGTTGATGAGCGATGGCCAATCTGAAAGCATCGATGGGGTTACGCAGAGGGTCTGCACCTTCCAAGCTTGGCAGTTCCGGCAACTGAGATAGCAACGGCACCCCTGGGAATTTGGGAGAGGCTGCGATGCTCGGAGCAGGAGCAGATGTCGAGGCGGACATGCTGAGCTCAAATCTATTCGATTTGATCGCGCAGGCGGGCAAGGTTGGGCGAGTGAGGAGCGTAGAGCAAGCACGCGGTTTGGCGAATGAGAGAGCGGTGGATCGCAGCGCAGACCTGTGCGCGATCGCTCTCAGGGCTAGGAGTGTGACCAGCGTGGCGATAGGTGTGTTGGTGGAGAGGTGAGCTGCAACTTGAGCTCGGTGCTTGTGCAGACCCGCTAGATCTGATGCCTAGGCTCAAATGGTGTGGTATGATTCGGCATCGAGTTGGGTCGAGTCAGCAAAACATAGAATCAATCACAATTTGAATAATCAGTGAATGCACACTCAAACTCTGACTCACAACTCACGACTCACCCGTGACTCGTGACCGATTCTTCTTCTCTGCGTCTGCATGCCCAACGCCGAGTCAGAGTCTGCGCGCGCTCAGATTTGATCTCGACGTCTGTAGATCTCGTACGAGATAAGCCGAGCCACGTGACTACAGCCTTCATCGGCCGTAAATCACGAATGCGCGCAGTGCGCTGCACGGAAGGGTATGCTCGGAAGGGTATGGTGTTTAGCAGCCAGCATGGGCTTGGCCTCCACCTCGGTCTTAGGCGACGAACATTTAAATATATGGATGCCTTGGGTATGCTTGCCTTGACGGCGAGCTCCACGACAGCCGACTGACCGTCCCGCGAACGCCGGGTCCCACGTATAAGAGAGCAGAGGCTTCCAGCATCGGAAAGCAGCCATTTCACTCCACGAATCGCGCACAATCCTGACTTTCCTCTTACACTACGCATGTCCTACCGCTTCGCGCTCACTGGCCGTCGTACGCTTGCAAGCAGCCTAAAACGTGGTCCGTCTGCGCTCGTGCACAACCCAATAGTAGCTCAGTCCAGAAGTATTTCAAGCCGAAGCTTGACTAGCGCCTCTGAATTTACAATTCATCTACCGCCATCAGCATCTCGAAACATCATGACGGACATATCCAAGCAAGCTCCTCATACTGACGGAGCGGGCAAGGTATGTCGCACACATAGCAGCGTTGCAGATAGCCGCAATACATGGTTTCGGCTAACAACGCTCCACCCATGTGTCACAGTGGGCATCGAAAGATGGACAATTTCGTCGGCAAACATCCACCTTCAGGGATGCCATCTCTTCCGATCCAGGCTCGTCTTTTCCTCCCGAAGTGGGACGCTATCACCTCATCGTCGCGCTAGCTTGCCCATGGGCCCATCGTGCACTCATCGTGCGCGCACTCAAGGGCATCGATCAAGTAAAAGATCTACTGCCCGTCCACACTGTCGATTCATTCTTGGGCCCCGAAGGGTGGACCTTTGAACCTTATGGGGACGATGTGACTGGAGGCGTCAAGACTGCTAAAGGAACGGGCAACAGGATCCCAGGCCACGAGAGCAAGAAGCGGATCAGGGACTTTTACAAGGCTGCGGATCCCGAGTATGCGGCTAGGTGCACGGTTCCCGTCATTTGGGATAACAAGAAGGGGACCATTGTCAACAATGAGTCTTCCGAAGTCATCCGGTTTTTGAATCACGCTTTTGATCAATTTCTGCCAGAGGACAAGAAGACACTCGACTTCTACCCCGAAAAGCTCAGATCCGAGATTGACTCTCTCAACGAATGGGTGTACGATACGGTCAACAACGGCGTCTACAAGAGGTGAGACGAGTGAATCGCGTCTTGTGAGACTCGCATGTCCACATAGCTAACATTGCGCTTGCCACCCTCGTCTCCAGCGGGTTCGCAACCACCCAGCAGGCGTACGAGTCTAACGTTGTGCCACTCTTCAAGTCTCTAGACAGGCTCGAAAAGCATCTGCAAGAAGTTCACAATTCTGGCGCACAGTTCCTCATCGGAAGTCAGCTGACAGAGGCTGACATTCGACTGTTCACGTGAGTTCACTGAGTGATCTTCCTCCTTATCGAAGTGGATAATAGTATCGACGTTGATGCGCGGAGTCCGCTCGTTTGCTCGGCCAGGACGATTGTCCGCTTTGATCCGGTCTACGTGCAGCACTTCAAGTGCAACCTTGGCACGATCCGCGCTGATTACCCAAACCTGCACAAGTGGCTGCGAAACTTGTACTGGAAGGTGGACTCCAAGGCATTCAAAGATACGACAGACTTTGAAAGTATCAAGAAGCATTACACTCAGAGTCATGCCAACATCGTGAGTGTCCTCGTCGAAGTTGCAACTCCCAAGAAATTATTGACCAACCTCGTGACGTATGTTTCACTCCCACCATAGAACCCCACTCGAATCGTGCCATTGGGCCCCGTCCCGGACATTAAGCCTCTTGATGCTTGAGAGACGTGACCTGGTTGCTTCGCTGAATTTACTCGTCGCATTGGTGTCCTTCGAACCATCACCGCCCGCCGTCATGGAAACGCAAGATTTGCACCTTTCTGCGTGCTCTGCGCCACCCTCTCTCGGAAATTGCCAGATGTATGCACCTGAGTCCTCATCTCACCGAACACAAGCTTTTTTGAAACCTCGCCCTCCACGCTAGTGTGTTGCCGATCTGTGCATTGCGCAATTTTTCTCCGTACTTGTCCAGGAGCATCTCAGCCGTACCTGAACCCGACACCGAAGCCCGCAATGAAGCTGGCTTTCCACTGAAATCCGGTCGTCAAGAAATTGATGAACCTGCCCCAGATTTTTGCCAATCTAGAGTCTCGCCAGGATGTGGGGGCGTTCTGATTGCCAGTCTGTTGAGCAGCTCGATCGGCTGCTTTTTCGTAACGAGAAGCTATGCCGGACCAATTTACGCTGATGAGATGTTGAGTGGAGAGATATTGGAGAAGGATAAAGGCGGCACCTGTGCGGACGAGTGACGGGACGATGAGCAAGTGGACTTGCATGTCGCGCCAAGTACGCTGCACGCTTTGCCCTCACCCAGCAGCACCGCCAACAATTTGAGTCCCTTTTTGACAAAGACGCCAGAGCAAAGACCTCTGCGGGTCATGTGGCCATCGATGTAGGGATTCGCAAGGGTGAGCAGCGTGGCGCGCAATTCTGCACTTTGCCATGAATTCCCTCCGCTCACGCAATCGTGCCGAAGCTCAAGTTGGCCACGTTCAGTAAGGGCTCTTTGTTCGCCGAGGGAGGAGGCGGTCCACCTGCTGCTGGCGTCGGCGGTCGGCTTGTCGGGATAGGTGGCGAGTCTTGAGGCGGATCAAGAGTACGCGTAGCATTCAAAGTCAACCTCGATCCGCTCTCCCAACGCAAGGCCGAATCTCTTGCTCACCGCACTGCACCTCTCCTTTTTCTTTGTCGAAGAGCCCGAACGCGGCCAACCCCATTGCAATCGAGACGGGTGCGCTCTTCCAGACTCTGCCGGCGCTGCTCTTGTCGCCAGAGTGATGATGGCGAGTGTTCTGGGTGAATTCGGCTGTACAGATGTTGGTGTGAATACCTGATCTTCCGAAAGACTTCAAGAATGATGACAATGGGACCGCTCGCGTGTTATCCAACGCGGGTAAAGAGGCGGATGAGTGTACACAACGCTGGTGCGCGCAGCCGGCCAAGCCAAGCGCAGCTGCCCTCAGAGAAGCGGGGCCGATGCCCATCGCGGAAGGAGAATACAGCCGCGCGGACATGGTGAGCCAGCGATTGTAGGTAATCGTAGAGACGAAGGGCCCGTCAAGATGGAGCCTGAGTCATGAGTCGATTCGATTTTTGACTCACTTGAATGGTCGCGGGGATGTGCGCTGACTCGCGTCTGTGGAGGCTCACGCTCAACGGGACTCACGTGAATGATGCAGCGCAAGCTGCTGCCCCGTGCGCTGGCTGGCCCTGCTGCTTTCGAAGATGCACCATCAGGTGCGATGCACATCCACGCATCCTCCTCGCTACACAAGCTTTGCTTGCCATCACCCACACCTACATCACGCACAATATCTCGGACCGCATTCCCGCTCTCGTCGACGCACCCGGTACCATTCGCGTTGACGCTGGCAAGCGCAACGATCAGCTCTCATCGCCCAGTCCCACCTGCTCAAAGCCGGAGGCGTTCGAAGAAGTAGACGGCTCAGCCGATACTCTACAAAGCTTCTGTGTAGCTCGACTGGGCGCAAGGCGACACCTCTCAGCTTACCCTGGGCTTGTTCTATTCGAAAGGAACGTGGTCTGCCTATGCTGCAGAAGGGTGACAATCTCCCTTCCTTACTAATTTCCCAGATCCAACATCGCAATGTCGAGCTCCTCCGCATCGAGCGCAGCAACGCTGCGATCCGCTCAACAACAAAGCCTATTGACACTCTTGCACTTTAACCAACCGCGTGAGGGCGGAGCTGCTCGTCTTGGCGGTGCAGCGGGATCCATCATTGGTGGTAGTACAAATGGGTCAGATGTTGTGGGCGGTGCTGTCTACGATGCAAATGGTGCTAGTAAGGAGAGCAAGGAGATCACCATTCCGGATGCACCACCAGTCTGGAAGGTAC